TCTGTGAAAGTAACTAATACAAGACATGACTGAGAATTAAGGAAATTAAAGGAAGCTTAGCTATCTGGAGAAACACCCCCCATTCATAACGAGAGGCTTCAGTGTCTTCACACTGATCTGGAGATTTGAAACAACACCTATCAAAATATTAATGGTCTCTTTTTCTTTGCATAAGTTTAAAAATTTATACTTAAATTCATATGGAAATGCAAGAAACTCAAACTAGATTAAACAATCCTTAGAAATGGAGAAAGCTAGGTAATTAATACTTGGAATTTTAAAAGTAGCTATTAATATAAAAGTTTTAAAAAGTCAGCCAGGAGCCGGGCGGTGTTGGTGTACACCTTTAATCCCAGAACTTGGGAGGCAGAGGCAGGCGGATCTCTGTGAGTTCAAGGCTAGCCTGGTCTACAGAGTGCGGTCTGTGAAATAGCCAGGGCTGCACAGAGAAACCTTATCTCAAAAACAAAACAAAACAAAAGTCAGCCAGGTATGGTAGCACAAATCTGTAATAGCAAAACTTGGGAAGGTAAGTCAGGAGGACCATGAGTTTACATCAGCCTGGACCACACAGTAAAAAAACCCTGTCCCAACCAGGCAAGTGAGCCAACCGAAAAACAAAACAAAACAAGAGGCCCTAACAAACCTACAGTAATCAAAAACTGCTTTAGAAGCAAAGTGCAGTATTGCATTCTCAAATTGTCGTGCCCAGAATGGTGACTGCAGAAAAAAATGTCCTAGATTCTCAACATTTGCTGGGGGAGTAGATATTATGTCCCCATCAGGTAAACAATGTAATTATGTCAGAGGATCATGTGAGTCATCTTGATTGTGGTGATCATCATAGAAACAAACATGCCAGACTGGATGGCAACAAGCCCACGAGGCCTCAATCCCGCACAGAGAGCTATAGGCAACTGAGGAAAGCTAGGAGCAGGAGAGGAAGAGCATATTAGTTTGTCATCCAGGGCAAACAGTCAACCCTGAAATATACATAAATAGACATCATATGGACTCAACAGGTTATATTGAGGAATATCTAAATACATACATATACAACATTTATACATGCAAGAATAATGATGCAAAAAGATCATGCATATGAAGAACAGTAAAGGATATACAGGAGGCTTCTGAGGGAGGAAAGGCAAGGGAGAAATATTGGGATTAAAATACAATCTTGAAAATAAAGAAAAAAGTTATAAAAAAAAAAAACCCTGTACAACTTGTAAGATTTTAGTTTGTCACACATAGCTCAGTTTTAGCGGGGACAACACAGCAAAACGGCCCAGCACTGGCCTGAGGGCTGACAAACAGGACAAGGACAGAAGTTCAAAACTAACCCTGACACCCACAGTCACTTTTTTTTCTCTTTATTTTCTCCAGCGTCAGCCATCAAGCCCAGGGACTTGTGCATTCCGCCACCCCCGAAAGGTGCCGAGACACTGCAAAGCCAGAAAGAACAGTCTTCTCAGTAAAGGATGTCAGAACTGGAGAGGCACACGCAGAGAAGGAAGGTGGATTTCACATCATACATAAAGATTAACTCCAAGCACAGCAGAGACCTAAATCTGGGAGCTGAAACTGCAAAACTCTGACCAAACACTGGAGTAAACTGTCATGAGCTTGGATCCCCTGGATCCAAGCTAAGGTACAAAAGAGAGAAGGGGAGAGGGATTAACTGGACTTTATCAACAGTAAAATCTTACTGCTTCAAAGGTAAATGCTAAAGGCAACCTAAAGGATGAGGGAATAAGTAAAAAAATATTTATAACTCGACCACAATGTGACAACACAATTGAAAATTAGGCCAAATATTTGATAAGCACTTTTTTTAAAAAAGGAAAATATAAGAATAGCTAAGAAGCACATATAACTAACATCATTAGTCATTATCAAAAGCACAAGGAGCTACCGATTCATATTCACCAAATTTTGCCAACAACAACAATAAACATGGACATAAGGAGCAGTGGCGAGGATGTGGAGAAGCAGGTACTCTCACACGCTCCTGGTGAGAAGGTGAGGGGTGTGGTTACCTCCTTCGAGGGTTAGACACAGTGTTCCTTTGTGACTCATGCATCTCATTGCAGGCAAATACGGTTCAGTTGAAGAACATAGCCATACAAAAACTTATACACATCTTCCTAGAACTGAGAGTCGTAATAGCTAAACACTGAAAGTATTCCAAATCTCTGTGAACTCCCAATGGATAATCAGAATGTGGCATCACCATATCATGGAGAATCTTGATTAGCACAGATCTTAGAATGGATATATGTATATATCATATATATGAATATCATTTGTGTATATACATTGTGTGTGTGATCCAGTGGGCCTTAAAGTTCATGGATCACATTGAAGATGAAATTTCATGTCTTTTACATCAACCCCCTTCTCTGGGATAGGGCCATCATCACATTCCTTGTGGAACTGGACAACTTCTTTGTTCTTAGGCCCATAAATGTGCATTCACTAAAAATATTATCTATAAATTTTAATACAAGATCCAAATAGTAGAAACACTGTCATAGTAATTAAACCCCTACAAAGGAACTTAATCTAGGGCCTCATGCATACAAGGCAAGCATTCTACCACTGAAAAACGTTTCTAGCCCTTAAAATTGTATTTAGTTTACAAGTCAAATTCATTGCATAAGTATCCTTCCATTATTTTTCTTGACTCTGTATGTAAGGAATGCCAAAATCCTCAGGGGAAAAGCTGATAACAGCTGGAGGAAGCCAGGACTGAGGTGGCCATGGATACAGTAACAAATGAACTCCTTCAATGCACACGGACTTGGTGGAAAGGATGGAGCAGGTGGTTGGGAATGCCCATCAAACAGCAGTAAAGGCACAGAGACTCGAGAAAGACCGGATGTATGAGTGCGCGTATGTATGCGTGGATTATGACACTGGCACCTGTGTTGCAAGTGGTGCTTTTATTTTTCCACATTTCTTTGTTTCTCTAACATCCCAAGGACTGGACTATTTAAAGGATTTACGTGGATAACATTTGGTAAGTATTTGGTAAGATGGTTACATGATAAGGGGACATTGTCTCAGAGTCTATTGGGACTCGCTCTTACTAGACCAGACTAGCCTCGAACTCACAGAGGTCAGCCTGCTTCTACCTCCGGAATGTTGGGATTAAAGGCATGTGCCACCACCACCCAGCTCAGAGTCTATTTCTAAAGTTAGAGATTCCTCCTCTCCCTTTTGTAGTGTGGAATCACTGGTAGGTCAGCTTGCTATAGAGACACCTACACTAGGGCTAAGTCATGGAAGCAGCATAGGTGCCCATCTAAGAACCACCCAACGAGGAAAAGGTATACAACAGCTTTATTATTCGGTTATAAAGAATGAAATTATGTCATCTGCAGGAAAATGGATGGAGCCAACGAGCATATTAAGAGAAATAAGCTAGTCTTGCAAAGTCAAACCTGACAAGTTTTCTCTCCATGCAGAACTAGGAGGGAAAGGGGCACAGAAAGAAATGGAAAACTTGAATACATGGAAGGAGAAAAGGAGACGGAGGAGAAAATAAAATGAAAAACAATGAAAATGATCAAAGCAGATTATTTGCCTCTACAAAGACGTAAGGCAACCCCGAGTTTCAAACATTTTTTTTCTAATAAAAAAAAAAAGGAGCTACCGATGGGCATCTTAGGATATGTGAGCTTCAGGTTCTTTGAGTCAGTTTTGGTGCAAGGGTGTAGATATGTCCCCAAAGCACTTTGCTCTTTGCAGGAGATGTCCTTCATTCTCTCTGCTTTCACAAAGCTGAGCAGACGTTCTGGGGTATCACAGCAGCCCCCTGAGCATGTGGAGAACTGAGTTTTGTCCCAGACATAGCTCAAGTGACACTTTCTGTAGTGGCTTTTCATGGCATTTGGTTAGGGGTAGAAATTCCTTTAGAGCAGTTCAGTATAATCATGAAAAGCACGTTCAAAGGAAGAATGAATTCGGTGGGAACAGAAATCACCCTAGTGTTCTCCTTATATTACAACCACCACACCCGGTGACACACTTTCAGAGTGCCAAATTAAAACGCTCAGCGCTTTTCAACGGCCACAAGGAAATGTATCAGGATTTAGGCAAACCAACAACAGTAAATAAAGACACTTAAGCACAATGTCTCAAGAGATGTGGCAGCAAATTTGTATGTCAATTTATTACAGAGCTCTGGCCTCTGCCCTGGTGCAATCTTAAACTGTGATGCCAGTTTTCATACTGAAAATCCACAACCGAACTCCTTAATTCTAGTGACTGGCTCTTCATGTAACCTCTCATTCTTTTTCAAAATAAAGGATTATTATCATTTTAACCGAGGTTCTTAATGAACCTCTTGCTGCAGTGAGAGCCAGCTCTGCTCAGGCTGCAGCACTCCTGTGGGATGCTACTTCCCTTCTTCTGTCCCTGTTGAAAATCTGCTAACAGGTACCAGCGCTAAGTTCTTCCTGAAGCTCCTGATGCTTCTAGCATCTGCCATGGTTACCTGCACATTGAAAACATGTGGATGCTTTCATTGAAAATCTCTGAGTCCCATTTGCCCAGACCTTGGTATGATCTTCTGGAGTTTTACTGTTTTATGTCCTTCTAGGTGAACTAAGAGCAACAATGTAAGAAACAGTTATTCTAATGCATTCCCAAACCTTATATCTTAATATTAATTAAATATCTTTTCTTGGGAGAATTCATCTGCTCGCTGATGCTGATGTTGCATATGCCAAAATTATGTTTGGCTTGGTCACAGGCAAATCCATCCTTCAATTTCCCACTTTACAAATATTTGTTCAGTTTGAGTTCAAAGTCAACAGTGATTTTTCTTCTCTAAATAGATGGCTTGTGTATTATGTCTGTTATCATACTGCATAGATACAATATCCATTTGATTAAAAATTGTAATATAAAATGTCTAAATCCACATTAAAGCAGCAATAGCAGCAAAGCACATTTTCTTGAAGCAAATATAATCTACAGTTAATCTTGCTTACCTTGCAAAACTCCACTGATAACCTGGGGATCGCGTTTCCAACTTCATTCTAAAGAGAAAAGAACTCTGAAAACTCCCCCTTCCCGCCCTCAGATGGCGTCCGTGTTTTCTCTCGACGTGCCCTTAAAACTAGCAAAACAACAAATTAAGAACAACCTGGAATGTTTCTTAACTCTCTGCCTCCAGCTTTGTCGTAAAATCCTTCGTCAGATTACACAGTCGGAGGGGGTGAAACTCCGTTTCCTTTCACAGTTCTCTTGACCGTCTGTTTTGCCTGTCTGGCCCCCTTCGTATCGTTTTGACGATTTTACAACCCGACAACTATCAACAAGTCTGAATAGAGTGGTTTCATCCAAACTGAGAACAGCCTTTGTCCATGAAGAAACCCAGTATTTTACAAAATTCCAGGCCAAAGAATGAATGATAGAGCCTTCACCAATAGGGAGTGGAGAAAAGAATTTTGTCAAACTTTGTAACCCAATCCTTGGGAGCCAGAGGTGGGAATTTTAGATGGGGGCAGTCTTTTCCTTGGAATTTTCTTAAAGTGGTATCACTGACTTGTTGAAGTTAAAAGTTGCCACAGGTTAAAACATCCAATTAGTTTCTCCTGTTTTAAGTCCAATGAAAATACGTAAATCGATACTCCACAAACTGAGTGATTTCTAACAGTGATTATACTATCAATACAGGAATTTTAACGTCCATTTGGGAAAGAAGTAAAAGCTAGTTTAACATGATTCATTCTTCACGAGCAACTTTCAACGTTAGTATCTAAAAATATTTCTCTCTTAAAAACGAAAACCAAAATTGAGATGCTTATATTACTTCAAAAATGTTTTTCTACTATTAATTTTTTTTTGTGACATTACACACACACACACACACACACAGAGAGATTATAATTAAATCATTTCCCCCTTTCTTTCCTCCTGACCAAGCCTCCTAGGTATCCCTCCCTCTCTCTCTTTAAAATTAATGGCCTTTTATTATTTTATTTTTACATGCACACATAGCATGTGTGTGTGTGTGTGTTTCAGGGCTGACCATTTCGTATTAGATAAGCAAATTAGGCAAATTGGTGTGCTCTTCTGGGAAATACTTTCTCCCAATCTCAGCTTTCTTTAGTTGCTTGTAGTTCTTTGCATAGCATTGAGGCCTCCTGAGCTTTCGGTAGTTGATGTTAGCATGGCTATTGGTGCAGTCCTCATTCAGGTCATGTTTAGGCAGATATGTCGGTGAGACTTTATGTACAGATGTATCTTCTAACATTTCTAGGAGACATAGTCTCAGCAAACTCTGTTCCTCTGACTATTACAATCTTTCTGCCTTCTTCCACAGTGATCGCTAAGCCTTAGGAGTTGTGTAATAGAAGTATTGGTTGTGTCTCCGCTCTACATTGGGATTGCTTGTGGTTTTCTATAATGGTCTCCATAAGATGCAAAGAGCAGTTTCCTTGATGAGGCTTGAGGATTACTAGGCTATTACACTTACTAGGCTAGACCCCAGAGGAAGACAACTAGAATATTTTTATTTTTTGAGAACTTCACACAATGCATTTTGATTAAATTCACTCTCCACTCCTCTCATTGTCCCAGATCTACTTCCTCGTATTTTCTCCCTCTCTTCTTTTTAATAATCAATGGAGTCCAATATGCCCTGCCCTTATACCGGGATGAGGGGCCAGTCACTGGGGCAAGGTCTACCTACCAAGGGTCACATCTTAAAAGAAAATCAACTCTCCCTCCCCCAGAAGCCACCAACTGTCCATAGCTCCTGAGCTGGGGTGGAGGGCTGGTGAACCCCTTCCTCTTCCATGCTAAAATGTTGACCGGCTTTATCCTGTGCAGACAACCACAGTTACCATCCACTTAAATGAAGGCAGAGGGCCTGTTGTGGTCCTCCCTGACCTCTGCCTGGTATCTTTCAGCTCCCTCTTCTGCAATGGTCCGCCAGCCTGGGAGTTAGGGAGACTTGGGGGTGGGGGTGTCCTATTTGTGGCTAGCGCTCCATAGATACTTATTTGATCAGTTGTGAGTTATGTTAACTACCACCCACTGCAAAAAGAAACTTCTCTGATGAGGTCAGGGAGAACAGCAAGTCTTATTAGTGGAGTTGATCCTTAATGCACCAATGATTTTTAATTTTACACTAACTATAGTTTTCCTGATTTTAAATCTGGATATTTGGGGGAATCTTAAAGTATTAAACTCCCCTCAAAAGTTTTAATAAACATAGGATATATATTATGCCATATACTTCAATAACTCCTTAAGATTGAATTAAATAATAAATAATTCATATTTTATTTGAACTCATATCTTACTTTGGAACTGTTACTATTTTTAATTTAACTCTTTTCTAAGTCATTCATTTCTAAGAGTAGGTAAGCTATCATGAAAGTAGTTCATTTGAAAGCCGAGGATGATTTGGGTGGTCCTAGTGCAGGCCTTTAATCCCAGTACTTGGGAGGCAAAGACAGGCTGATCTCTGTGAGTATGAGGTCAGCCTGGTCTACAGAGCGAGTTCCAGGACAGCCAAGACTACACAATGAAACTCTGTCTCCAGAAACAAAAAAGACCCTGTCTCAAAATATCAAACCAAACCAAATCAAGCCAAACAAAACAAAAAACCAAAAGAGAAAGAAAGTTGTTGCATCAATGTGCACAACATTTTAAAAGAAAGTTTTACATGCTGGGCGGTGGTGCACGCACACCTTTAGTCCTAGCACTTGCGAGGCAGGGGCAGATAGATCTCTGCGAGTTTGAGGCCAGCCTGGTCTACAAAGTGAGCTTCAGGACAGTCAGGGCAGTTACATAGAGGAAACCCTGTCTTAAAAGAAAAACAGGCAAAACAACTTTTTTAAAAAACAAAACAAACTTTTCTTCCCTGGTACTAGGGACGGAATCTAGTGCCTCTATGGAGCTACATACCTGCCTCCTTCTTTTTAAAATACTTGAGGTAGGTTCCTTTGCTCACTAAGTTGACCTTCAAGTTGTGATCCTCCTGCCTCAACCTCGAAGTAACGGACTGCACACGTGCTCCACCAGAACAAGCAGGATTTTCACCTTGAAAAAGTTTTTATGGGCTGCCTACTTTAGCCATGTTAGGAACTGCCATATTAGTTCACTAAGTTTTGATTGTCCTTAGTTATTTCTCACACTGGAGCCTGTGTGTGTTTTGTTTTATTTTTATCTACGAGACAGTGTCTCACGTAGCTGAGATTGGCCTCTAAATCCTGACCTGGCTCCACCTCCAGAGCACTGGAACTCAAACATAGAGCACCACGCCTAGGACCGGGAGTCTTAATGTTAGAGACTGTAGTTGGCACCTCTCAGTGAGAGTTTCAAGCCCTTAAATCCAGTTCTTCTTGTTGATTGGATTTACTTGCCTTATGTAAGCCCAACGGCTTCTGTTTAAATGTCAGAAAGGTAGAGTAACAGTAGCAGGGATTGCTGTCAAAGCAAACGCGAGACTGCACAGCCCTTAGGACGATGCCTGGTACAGAATCGCTCCGAGTTTTATTGTTGACATCTGTCAATGAGAGGCTGGGAGCGGAATGAATGTGTGAACGAAAAACACGTCAGTTACAGGCGGCTCCCGAGGCTAAAATGCTAAACTGAAATGCAGTTTTCCTGCCATGCAAACTGGAGCCGGAAGCCAGAACAGAGCCATGGCCCAGACCCTGCAGGAAGTCGCGCTCTCGGCCAATAGACGCCTGGCTCTGAAAACGAGCGTCTCATTCCACCTATCGTGAGACAGCGAGAGCGGAGGCGAACTCTCGCGATGTTTTGATCTCCCGGGCCCTTCTTCCCCATCCCTACTCCGTTAGGCACGCCCCTCCCCAGGCCCCGCCCTCGTAGCCCCGCCCTCCCTCTATCCCAGGACTGCCTTCCAGCGCAGCCCGGGCACCCAGCGCTGGTCAGCGGGCGCCGAGGTGAGTGTCCTGTCTCCAGGCTCACAGGTCGAGGGCACTGGCCCGGCTCCTGGCGGGGACGCTCCATTTCCGTCGCCACAGAAGCGCCCGGGCCTCTGCCAGAAGGACCACGAGCTGTCCGGCCTTGGGTCTGTTGTGTCCGCAGCCCCTGGTACCCGGGTACCCTGAATCCCTCTGGGCTCCCTGCTGCTGGATTCTTATGACTAATTCTGATTGAACTAACTGAGGCAAGACCAAGACGTCTGGTACCTTTTCTCAGGGAGAAAACAGCCTTTTACAAATGCTTATAACATACTGTTTGTAAGACCCTAATCTCCAGCGTCAAGAAGTCAGATCGTGTGTATTCTATCAACTCAAGTACTGCAAAGTCAGTTAGGGAGTATTCTTTAAAATACTTGTGCTTAAGATGGGGGTTTTCTTAAGTTGGAAAATTATTCTATTTGCTTCTGCTGAAAAGGCATTGACGTTGGACTTTCAGAAAACTGAAGAAGTCGCTGTATAGAGTTAATACTAACTACAGTATTTACGTTAATTGTGGACAGGAGATGAAGTTGAAAGGGACAAGAAAACATGAGGCTCTGAAAGGCTGGATTGCCAATGAGTGCATATTGGGAAAAAACAAGAGAATTGTTGCTGGAAGCTTTTTGATTTCATCTGTATGCACCTTATTCCCCAATCTGCCTTTGTAGTGAGATGCATTCAGCCAAGCTTAATGGTGTTTTCAGGCAGCCAGTTGCAGCTGGAGCATCAGAAAGCCATTTGGTTGTAGTGAATGGAGATTTTGGACATAGTTCTACTTTGCAGAAGGAAAGCCTTCCATTTGTGTAATCTTTGTGTATCTCATAATGATGGCACATTGCCTACATTTTCCCTTTGTAAAAGGCTGTGTTAATAGGTAAGGTGGGACCCAGACTTTGGTGTTAGAACCACATCTGTTGTGTTTGTGACATGGTACCTCATCTGTAACGTGGATTAGTTCATGTCTGCTGTACTGCTTGGCTGTGAGGATAAAGGTCCTTATGGCAGCTCGCAAGTTTAGAGAGTCTATGAGTGAGCTCAGTGGGTAGATGAAAAGTCAACCTTGGAACGCTATTCTGATTTTATCTAGTTATTAGCTGTTTGAAAGCTAAAAGTATTTAGTTATTGTAATATTATACAGATATGCAGATATGAAGAAAACCTCTGCCCTCAGGATTTTACAGACTTGTCTAAAGTGTCAGTAAACTGGTGTGTGTGTGTGTGTGTGTGTAATATATATTACAAATTGTAAAAACTTAATAACTGGCTTGCTCTGGAAGAAAGCCAAGGAAATAATTAGTTGGGACAAGGAAGTGAGTTTTCTGTTGAAATCTGCAAAGCGAAAGAGGCAGTTTCCTGGCTAAGAGGGGAACAGCAAGTGCTTGGAGAAGTTTGACAGCTCCCAGGAGTAAGAAAGCCCAGGAACTTGGTGAATCTGTCAGAGGAGGCTGGACAGGCAGGTTGGGCCC